GTCCCTTGGGCACGCCAGAAACCTATGATTGTGGGTTCGAATCCCGGTTCGCCCCTATTATGTCTCTAGGTTTGTCAGCACCATACCCGTGCTCGTGGGTTTCACCGAAGTGGTAAACGTCTGAGACCTGCATCACTTCGGGCTTTCCTCCCACATTAAGCTGACACGCCGTGATATAACTGGAATAATGTTAAAAGCGGCGTTAAACCCAACTCACTCACTCACTTAAAAAAACACCATCCGGGGAAGAAATCACGTTCAAGAAAGTTGGTTTTCAAACATAACGTTCATTGCAGCCCGTTCATAGTAGACACAGCAATAGTGAATGTCCACCTCATGCTCCTCTCAGTTTTAAGTTAATTCACACCAATTCTGAAATTAATTTGACATATAATGGTGCAGTTGTTTTATATACGCCACGTCTGCTTCCATTCATGTCGTCTGGAATAACGCGCATTAAAAACTCGTGCAGCGAAAGTGAGCCCCGATTGGTCAAACTTGTATCCATGACTTCACGTGACATTGCTATTCATAGCGAACACCTGCGTGAAATATACAACGTTTCAACACTGATTTGAGGTTTGTTTGAGTAAACAGTCAACGGAAGAACCCGACTGAAAAAATGGAGAATTTCCTATTTCCAGCGTGCAAAGCTTATGACCTCTTTCAGGTTAGTTAAAAATGGCTTCGTCTTGGCTTTAATATAAGAGAAAGCCTACACAGTATTGATGTATGCTGTTTAAACTGAGAAACAACACCCGATCCGATATTATACATATCAGTCCTGATTATTACATAACAGCTCAAGATAAGTAATTTGTATTGCCTTAGAGAGAGAGAGATTACAAAGACACATATCACACATCCCTTGATTTTTACCATTAAAATAAAGTGTAATAATTACTATACAGGGTTAGTAATTCCCTACATTGTAGTGCTGATTACAGTTCAAATCTTAATATCACAGGTATACTAATTTCCAGGTGCCTTACTTTGAAGACTCAGAAAGGTTCATCTAGAAATCATATCATTTTTTAAAAATATCTTGTGGTGGCGTATAATATATGAAGCCAGTGATAAATGTTTTCTAGCAAAAATAGTGTACGCAAACATTCAAAACAGTTTTTTGGCAAGATTAACGAAATCTTGTAAACACTGTATAAAACTGCGCATCTTTCTTCAAGGTCACGCGGTAATTCTATGACGTCATTCTAAAGAATAAAACTAAAGAACAAAAATATGTAACGTCATCTGAGCCGGGCGATAGCGTGAAACAGGTTTTGGCATTGACTGCGATCCATGTGAAATCGATATCTATTGCTAGCATGTGAGGGCAGTGTATTGCGTAGCATGCTGAATAGGTCCTATGTGAACGTAAATGATGACGGTTGTTGTCACGGCGTCACACGCGATAATAGCATCAGGCTTGGTGTGTATCAGGTGGTAGCTATATATCTGGCATAGGTCACCATATCTAGTAGATAGTGGGAGAAGTATATATTTATTAGTCGTTGTAATATAAGTATTTTTGTGTTGTTGTTGTTGTTGTTGTACAGATCAAAATAAATGAATGCAGCATTTAAAGAGGGTTTAGGTGATCCTGGCACAGTCGGTCTGGTAAGGCACATCATCAGCTCAGAGTCCATGCTCCCGCTACACGCAGTCCAGACAGCGAATGGGACTCCTCCCAGGAAGCGCTGCTTTGTCGAATCCACCGGGAACCTTAGTAGTAGTAGTAGTAGTAGTAGTAGTAGTAGTGATGGTGGTGGTTGTAGTTGCAATAGAAAGGTATAGTCCTCGCCACTTGAAATAGAATCACGAAATATCGCGATGCTCAGTTAACAACGATAGCTACATGTGTGCTAATACAGTAAATTATGGTTATAACGAACTCAAATGGACCACTAATTTTATTTTGTTATATCCGTAGTTCGTTATAAGCTATCGAATGTCACACATCTTGGAAAATACATCTTATAAAATGAGCACGGCCACCCGAGTAATATTGCTGTTCTCCCTTTCCTAGTGCCCACGCAGTAACATTCCTGGAATATTGCCAAAACATACTCGATTATCCAGTACCTCTTTATCACATCTCTATTCTGGTATGATATATCATGACTGGAGATTAAATACACAGTATAAGCGAAATGTGCCGTGAGCGGTGTAGAAACAGCTCAATCGCTCAATGAGGCACACGTAAAATCTCTAAACTCGACCACGTATTCCTCGTCAGCACCAGTTGGTTTCATTTTTGCACAAAAAACGTTGCAGACTAAACCAATGAAAGGAACATGACTTTCTTACCTTCTTTGGGAAATTGTGTGTGTGGTGGACTATATCACACAAGTGCTAAAAGTGTCTAAAGAATATACGGTAAACTACGTTTATAACGAACATTTTTTAGTCCCGGCCATTTGTTGTATATATGCTGTCTATATGCTTACAACGAACTACGGTTATTACGAACTAAAATGAGTGGTCCCTTTGAGTTCGTTATAACCGAAGTTTACTGTATTTCTTAGTTTACAAGGGAAACATGACAACTAGACAACATAAGGACGCGCCATGTGATATGCTCGTACAGCATATATACATTGAAATCTCCCAGCACAGTACACTACGCTTCCTTCAACCCTTGTGTACTCCGTGTGTCCGTTATGGAAGGGCTTCAGTTTGATTTGATGACTTCAGTTGCCAACGAAGTAAAACGTGTTGTAGACATTATCTGAGACACCTGTCGTTGGAATTGGACGAAATAAAATATAATAGTTTGTTTCGTCTTCATGATTTCCATGCTTTAACATCTGATTCGTTTTATAGGACCTATTTGTAAATTTTGGTTTTGTTGTAAGTTCATTGTATTCAAAAACATAAGGCATAGTCGTGTTTTTTATCGTTTGGTCTGAATAGGAATGCTCTGAGAGAGAGTGAGAGAGGCAAGTGTTTTCCGAATTTGCAAGTGACTGAGTGAGTGTTGGGTTCTATTGCGTGATACTGCACTCACTTGCAAAAAATGATGGAGTCATTCACAGTGGACTTCTGTGCCATACGTCATACACTAACACCAAAAGGCATTCGCCCCTCATGGTTTATTCTGCCTGCAGTGTTTTATTTTACAAAAACAACCACCACGAGTCATTTATTTCTTATACCAAATATCAACATTTTGTAGAGCCACTTTAAGGATGTTAAAGAAAAGTGTACAAGCTTTAAAATATTTACCCTTATTTTAATAATGACGACTCGCTGATTAAAATCCGACCTCGGAAAAAGTCCACTTTATGAACAGGGAGTAGTTAAGTTTGGTATTTCCCGGATATTCTCACAACTTTAACGTCGATTATCTGTACCTTTTCCCCCAATACCGAGTGTCACATCCCTGCCCCTTCAGGATGCGATCGCTCGGCCATTGCGTCAATCTACACTGCCCAACTACGTCTATGGGGAACAATTCACTTCCTTCTGATAAAGACTTTAATCATATATTCGGAAGGTTCTTCGGCAGGATAAAACCAACGGATAAAAACGATATCAGCTGGGGTCATATGCGGATAGAGATGCAACTACTTTCAGTGTTTATAAACAAACCTGGCATCGCCGTTGTCAGAATTAACCATCGGGAATCGTGAGTGGTAGTGAGTGAGTGAGTAAGTAAGTTTGTTTTTACGCCGCTTTTAGCAATATTCCAGCAATATCACGGCGGGGGACACCAGAAATGGGCTTCGCACATTGTACCCATGTCGGAAATCGAACCCGGGTCTTCGGCGTGACGAGCGAACGATTTAACCACTGGGCCACCCGACCGCCCCCACCGTGACTGGTCAAGCTTTGGGTCAACCAAATACATAAACGATGCAGGAGTATATTACTAGTGAACATTAAGAACTGTGCACGTTACATGTTAACAACTGTTAAACAATGTATATGTAATACAAAAAATGTGACACAATACTTGAGTTCGTCTTCTTTATTTTTTTTGTGGCGTAATGACTTTACCTTCTGACGGGAGTCTGTTTTTCCCTGCTCCCATTTACACGACATGCATACTGCTTTTCCATTGGACGAGACGTCGGCCACATGACCTCGAAACTGAAGTTGATAAATGTGTGAACGACACAACATGACGTTCCTACGTTTTTAACGAGACTGCATTCTTGAAATGACGTAATCACTGACGGACTACTTCCACATTCCTTGGAGAAACCACTGGGAGTTCCCTAACACGGATACATATACCGAATCGTTGTTCCTGATCATTTATACCCTTCACTCTTGAACTCAACGTTTTAGCATACATTATGAAAAGTAGGAGCGCTGAACTGCATGATCGTGCACGGATACCCACGCTGCGACCCATCCTAATGAACAAAATTTTAAAATGCCAATCCAAACTATCGTATCGAAAAGATCCACCTCCGACGTTCATACAGTTGAGCCCCCACCCTGAAAAGGTTCATACTCCAATGAAATCACACAACGTGAGAGTCAATTCTTAAATACTTTTTTGTCCAGTGGAATAGCCGTATATCCTGTCAACCTCACATTAAAACAATATATGCTGTTAGAACCCTAGTCCAATTAAAGTCCAAAGTGAGACCCTTTCTTGTGAAATTAGTTTTTTCTATTGTTTTCAGCCTGGGTAGCAAGGATTCGAACCCAGGTTTCCGCAGTGACGAATGAATGTCCTAACCACTAACATACCCACTCCTTGTCTTCAGCATGATGCCAATGGTGGGCATTCAGTCATGCGCACTCAGCAATATTCAAGCACCATGACAGTGGCCTGTAAATAATAGAGTCTGGTCCAGACAACCCATGCAGTGATTGATATTTTGAGCAACGACCCGTGTTGTCGAGTATGACGATATGCATTTGAATCACTGGGCCCGACCATTTATTCGCTTCTTATGACGAACAGGTTGACCAATTTTAACCCTGAATCCCCAAGGCGTAGGGTAATCCGTCCCCCAAACGCTTACAGAAAACAGAAGTGCAACTATTTATCAATGTTTTATTGCAAATCCAGATGGTGTACAATGAGTCTATGGCAATCTTGAGCTGTGAATCGGATGAGGCCAACGTCAATACACAGCCGACAACATCAGAATACCAACATGACCAACAAACAATTTCCAGTTGCTGCTTGAATGCCAAAAAAATAATCAATTTAAGCATGATGTAATCTCGGTAATTTGAAAATGTACAAAAAACATTTATTTGGGCTGTCTGGTCCATGAAGCTATTCTGACATCTTCAGCCGGTGTGCTAACCTTTCATAACGTTCGGAGGAGTGAATGTGTCTGGGCGTACATCTTTCACTGCTGCTGGTTGTCGGAGGTCATGCGACTTATCATGTGACTTGTCAGCTGATCATCACATGACTATACATTTTATCATTGTTGTGACTAGTCTAGTAACACTCCGAGGTTGGGGAGGGGCTCGGGTCGAGTTATCTCCCTTTGAAGGTTATTCAGACAGAACTAATTACAGGTATTATTGCACATTAATGGTGGTTGTTGCAGATTTGGAGAAAAACATTTGAAGACAATCTCTTGAATTTACAAAACAAGTTCACAAAAAGCAGTTGAATGTGCTCACAAAATATTGTACACTGACAAAAGTTGAAACTATGCTAAATATGTCCTATTTCACTCACAACAGACAGAATAAGGCTTCAATCATTAATAACAGTACATGTGCTAAGACTGTCAGCTACAACTAGCATATGCATTCAACCTTGCTTCACATGTATTCAGTATTAAATGCTGATTCTAATGGACTAAGTACAAGTTGTACAGATATGCCAAGTACCGAAAAACATTATCACCTGTCGATTAATAAATTTTGGTAACACTACAGATCTTGGAGATATATATGTGTATATGTATTTACAATTAGTGATCAATGATAATTTTAATTATTTGTCAGAATCACCAAATAATCACCAAGATTTCATTTTCAAGTCATAAACTTAACTTACCCGCTGTGGAAAGACACACCCACAAATACAAAATACACCAATTTGCAATCACACAAGTACAGATTAGGAAAATAACTCTTCTACATATTAACAGATACTATAATAGATTTTCATATGAAGAGCATAAATTACTTAGAATAGCAACATTGTGGAACATGCACAGCTATCTACAACATAAATGCAGGGTCAACCCAAGTTGGAGCAGAACACTGGTACTTTTTCAGCAAATGCCACTAAGGAGAAAGCCATGTTAGCAAGGGTTACCTCCCTCTTATTACTGTACAGGTCCATTCTTGGCATCTGGTCTTAATAGTTTGTCAAAATATCATTGACAGATGAACGATACAATGTCAAATAAATCTTCAAGATGTAGATGTGTTGTCATGGAAATGGTTGAGGGGGTATTTTTCTATTATGTTGCAAAAATGTTAAGAATCAAACATTTGCTATTTCGGAACAGAAATTTGAGATGTATTTTCACAAACATAATTAAAGGAACAAGCCGAAATGTCAATGTTTCTGAAACCAGACAATAGTATCCAACATGGCAACTGTCATCATTATGAGTGATGGATTTAATTTCAAAAGCAACATGGTTCTAGTAGTTGTTACTTCAAGTATTTGGATGATAATTTAACGACCTCATCTATGTACCTTGCTACATGCTATGACAAAAAAAAGGATTCTTTTGAATGCCTGATGAGATGCACTTAATAATCACACAGGCATCGGTATATTTGAGGTGAATATGATTGAATTTGTCTCCCACACGCTGCTATCCTGCAAGCAATCCTTGGACTACTACTGTAACACAATGTATAATACACAAGCACGACTGATAGCCGCAAGAGGTAGAAGTATGAACGCTCAACTCTCAACGTAATGCCATACTGACGATTACTCGAGATAAATACTTTCTTTCTATACAGAGTTTTATATAAGTTAGAATACGCTTTTAGAAGTACCCTTTTCATGGTGCAACATTCTTATGGACTAACAAACATTTCACATCCAAAAACAATTTGAAAGACATGATGTGCAATACCTATGAAAAATTGTCTTCACTAATTAATTAGTTAAGTTGATTTCATACTGATATTCAACGAGTAAGAGAGAATTAATATATTCAGGAAATTGCAGAAATGTTTGAAAATGATATTTAGGTTTCCATATTTTTACTTTGGAACGTAGGAATCGAATCGGTGACATATGACTCATTATCAAATACTGGACTACCCAATCAATTTGCAGTGAAATCGCAAATTTGGAGAATCAATTTCAGATTGGTCTTGGCTTTGAACAATTCAATTTTACGACAGGAGGAAGCTGACATCTTGAGTGAGCAATATGCAATATTCCAGGAATATCCTGGCAGCATGTCAATTACCATGCCTGGACCTGGCACACCTGTTTTGACATCATTTCAAGGTAGAGCACATCATTCGTTCTATCATGTCTTTGTTCATATTACATCTGATGTTGTCACATGGTGTCCGACATGACATGGTTTTTACCATTAACATTCACTGTTTAAAATAATCACAAAATGGCTACGATAGTTTCATAAATTCCATTACCAACATCAAACACGTTTGTAAATTTTCAAACAATCTATACTTGTATAAGAAGAATAAGTCATTACAATATATTTGTTACAAAGCAGATTGGGTTGGAACAATAATCTACACACACCCAATATAGATAAAAAGCCAATAACAAAGTTTGTAAAATCGGACTTGGAAATGTTCACACGTTGAGCACTCCCGCTAAGTTTCCGTGGTGACAACATAAACGGCTATTTTGGTTTGGTTCGGTAGAAAGATGTAGATGTTTATCTGCCCCACATATACATAGATGATTGCTGCGAAGCTCACACTAGTAAACAGCACCCAGGCTACATCCTTCATCTTCAACAAGCCACCAAACAGGATAAAAACTGCTACAAAAACCAAGTTGATGACATCATTGACGAATTTGTAAAACTTTCATATTTCAGTACCTAATTACACAAAAACCTAATGTAGGACCTTGATAAACTGTTTTTGGAGAGTGTTTCATCCTGTTTGTTGCCTTGCAACCTATAGAGCGGTTAATCTCGGATGTAAATTGTCTATAAAATGACCATTTCTCGTATATATACATTATGGCCGACTATACAGCAACCGTAAAAGCTCACGTAACAGACAACCACGCCATCTACCCCCAACAGCTAATCCCAGTCTGTACAACACACTCCCCACACATAGTATATATTTACACTAATACTTCCGATGGAATGGCAATTTCTCAAGATGACCACAAAATACATGAGATGATGATGACTGGCTTTCACTGGAGTTACCTCCCTTGGTGTAGTTCATCAGGCAAGGACATACATTATGCCTGTTGCTATGCACATATGACAGCGGTATTATGCGTGAACTGAACCCTCAGTTCGTCTATCTGATGCCATTTCGCATGCTTCATTTACTGTGTTACCCTACCTCGGAGATGGGTATATCCTCGAGCGCTACTTGTGTACAAAAGTACAAAATAGACTTGATGTTGTCTACATAATTTCTCCTCGAAGTGTCTACCATTGTCCAGATACTCTAGAAAGTGTCAAAATGGTATGTACAACATGTCTAGCATATACATCACAACATCAAGAATATCTTGGTAGTTTGAGTCGTAAGGCAAGTCAGTGTTGATTGGCTGCCTGAACGTGTTGAGGATTTGATTGGCTTGCCATGGAAGTAGGGTGTAATAAAGCGTTTGTCACTCGATATTTTGGCGTATTTTTACTGGGAATCTGCCTTTCCCATGTTCTGTTTTGCAAGTTAGACATGCATAGATCTTTGAGACTGTATTGGATCTGATAATGCCACTTTCCAATGTCTGAAGGTTTGTTGTTATCATAAAAGTTAGTACAAAACAAGCAAACATAAATAAGAGAAATACACTACATATAAACAATACTGAACAGTTGCCTGTTTAGAGAGTATACCTAAGTCATGTGATAGTCATGTGACTGTCAGGTGGAATATCGTACGTCATGTGCTCACTGAGGGGAAATAGTGGCAAAATAAATATGGTGTAAAATGAGATCAGGAGTGGGTTCCAGGCGACGACGCACGCACATGCATGTCTACACACATGCGAGGCAGGTAACTGGTCGTAATGGTGTGCTGGCCCGCGCGCCATTGGTCAGGGTCACCACCACCCACTCACGCACATACTTCACAGAAAAAACACACGCACAACTCATGGAAAATGTACTGTACAAAAATAGTGTAGTAGTGATGGGTACCCAGAGAGGATAGCCATTGCTGTGAGCCCCTATCAGCACCAGTCTTGTTGCTTGTATCCTTTTGATGATTTTCAAATACTCGAAGGTCAATGGTTTCGCCAACTCTGTCCAACCTGTACATATTCATATGCCTTGTATGGCAAGTAGTCTTTTTGCTTCAGTAGAAGCCGTGTGATTCACCAGTTCAGCCAGATGCTGGTCTGTAAGCATGGGCCAATCAGCATGCAGCTTACATATTGACTAGGCCATTAGGAGGTGGATGCCAACACATTTCAGAGCAGTATTTCTGAGTGTACTGTACATCCATGTATGGAACTCAGACGAAAACAACAGCCACCTCCACTATATCATCAGTCCATGCTCGGCCACGTGTAGTCAGTGTTTTACCTCAAACAGGATGGTACTACCCACAGGTCTAGTATATCGACCAATCAAACACATTGTCACATCCAGTAGGCTGAAACTGATGTATCCGCGCATCCTGGCCCTGAGCAGTCTGTTCACATCTGGTCTGTCTTCCTCTAACATCCATACGGCAAGTTGGGCCCGCGGGACTTACTGGCCAGGTTCGAGTTTTGTTGGGAATGGGACTGGCTACGTGACTTGCGTCCCTTGACACTGAAATATCAACATGTTACACATTAGTACTATTCAACTCACAAATGACGTGTTCAATGCTGTTATCAACTATGTTTCAGCTATAGCACAATCTGTCAGCTGAATTAGAAACACAGGTTGTATGCTGATTGACATTTGTTTGTTGTTTAACACGGCACTCAACAATATTCCAGCTATATAATGGCGGTCTGTAAATAATCAAGTCTGGACCAGACAATCCAGTGATTGATATGAGCATCAATCCATGCAACAGGGATACGATGACATGCATCAACCAAGTCAGCAAGCCTGACCACCAGATCCTGTTAGTCGCCTCTTGAGACAAGCATAGTTGCCTCTTACGGTAAGCATGGGTTGCTGAAGACCAATTCTAACCCGGATCTTCATGGGACTGATTGAATACAGGAAACTCACACGCAGCATACATGTTTGTCTAGTAACTGTTTTCCAAAAAGTTTAGCTTCACCAATTTGTATAAATGTTAATCAAATCTGATGTAGATACTCATTACATAAAAAGGCAATGAAGGTCTATTCAGCTCAAACCATTTCCGATCTAAACAGTAAGATCAATTTTCGTTACAAGCTTACTCAACTAATTGAATGCATTGAATGATAGAATAAGACCTTAGTATGACAAAAAGAACAATAGGGTATATAAAACCACAGTTAATCTTGAATGAAAAAAATATCAGGTAAAATAACTCACACACACCTTTGGAAACTCTTAAATGAGATGGAATTGGGGTTAAGACAGAGTGGGACTCGCTTGGCTCGTTGCTGTTGTTCTGATATAAAGTGATGGAGCTTCTCTGAAAACAAGAAAACAAAATGTAAGTGATCCTGTTAAAATATGATTAAAGAGAGTCAATATTGTCTGATGCCACAACATCAGGTAAGCAGTCTGTACCAAACATTTTTGTCCGTGCCCATAATATGGCTCTTGCTGTAATTTTTAGGAATCCTTTGTGCTTAAGTGAGCTTACAAGACCAGATTGAATGTTACTAGACTCGGGCTTCAGACTAGCGGTTAAAGTTGCCAGTTGTCACCGAGTGCGGACATCCAGCAGCTGATACAAGAGCACTGATAGGTCAGCAAACACTCAGTACGACTTCACATAGAGGGCCGTTAAGAGCAGACTTGACATATTTGTAGTTCAGTATTGGCTACTAAAATCTGTACAGCTTTTCACATAAAGTTAATGCTGCCTCTTGAAAATTTCAGCTTTGACGATCTTGACTCTAGAATTTCAGCTTGATTTGTTGGAGAGGTATTGTGTAGTTGTATCTCACCTTTGACCTTTGCTACAGATGTGAGCTCATCTTCGAAGCTATAACTGAAGGGTTGGTGACAGGGAGGCTCGAAGTCCGAGGTATAATGGCGTCCGGCAGACGTGTTATAGCAGCACTTGCACATGCACGAGTGATACCGAAGTCGACCTTCATCTAGGTATGGGTGCGTTAATGCATCACTGGCTGTTATTCGTTTTTCCTGAAACACAGAGGGGTGAGTGAGTGGGTCTGTATAACAACAATAATCATGCTACATCAAATCATAACAAAGTGGCTCAGATAAACCAGTTGTCTATAGTGTGGGCAACTATCAACATCTAGTAAAGTTCTGATGACACACAATGTTTGTTTTTGTTGTTATTGTTGTTGTTGTTTAACGCCGCACTCCACAATATTCCAGCCATATGACAGCAGTCAGTAAATAATTGAGTCTGGACCAGACAATGCAGTGATTGATATGAGCATTGATCTACGCAATTGGGATGTGATGACATGCATCAGCCAAGTCAGCGAGCCTGACCACCCGATCCAGTTAGTCGCCTCTTACGACAAACATGGGTTGCTGAAGACTTGTGCTAACCCTGGGTCTAGATGTCACACAATAAGCCATATGACATGAGTTGCCTCTTTCCTATGAAGTGAGGTAGTAGTGAATGAGTGAGTCGATGACTGTACTTACTGGATTAAACACTAGCATCCTACAGAGTAGATGGACTGCCTCGTGCGTGGCCTGGCCAGAGAGGGTGTAGAGGGCTGCCAGTGAGGGCTGCTTGTGCGGCTGGCGGAGGATGTGGGCCTTGGCACCTTCACATGCTGTCCGCATGTCTTCCAGGTTGGGGGTGCCGAGGAGGTCGGTGATGAGATCAAGCTGCAAAAGACAGACACTTGATAAATACTCAACAGACACAATACTCATCAGCCACAAACAAGAGTGAGTGAGTGTGTGAGCTAGGATGAGAGTGTGTGAGCAAGGATGAGTGAGTGTGTGAGCTAGGATGAGTGAGTGTGAGAATGAGCTAGGATGAGCGAGTGTGTGAGCTAGGATTAGCGAGTGTGTGAGCTAGGATGAGTGAGTGTGTGAGCTAGGATGAGTGAGTGTGTGAATGAGCTAGGATGCGTGAGTGTGAATGAGCTAAGATGAGCGAGTGTGTGAATGAGCTAGGATGAGCGAGTGTGTGAATGAGCTAGGATGAGTGAGAATGTGAGATAGGATGAGTGAGTGTGTGAATGAGCTAGGATGAGTGAGTGTGTGTGAGCTGGGATGATTGAGTGTGTGAGCACATTTAACAGCAATTTTGCACAAAATTCTTTTCGCTAGGCCTTACATTTTTTATTTGTGGGTTTACTAAACCAAAATTCAACTCAGGTGGCTGAATTGATTTTCTCTAAATTTCAAAGTGCTACTAATCAATAATCTTTTTTTTTTTTAAAATGACAAAAAATGTTTTAACATGGCAAAATACTGAAACATAACCGACTTGTTTTGGTCCCCCAAAATACTTTTAAACATATTATTCACAATTTTATACAAACAGCAGTGACAAAAACAAATCTCTTGGTTTCTTTTCATTTCACGTCATCTTACAACAGAATCATCCAACTTTTTTTGTCAAAGTAATTTTTTTTTCTAAATTCATTTTATGGGGAGTTGATTGGTCGGTCTTGTATATATATATAACTTATTTTAGATGGGATCTTGTACATATTGAAAGTAAACAAAAGTTGCATCAGCTAAAGAATCATTTTGTTTTATTTTCTGTTCCTGGACAAGGAATAAGTGCGGTTATGCAGACCAAAACAAAACGTGTGTAAGCGATTCAATCTAACTCAAAACTACAATTTGGGGCCATCACAACAGTTCCAATTGATTTTCTGATCCAAGCAATAAATAAAGGTTGGTCTCCACTTCATCATGTCTTAAATATATTATAAGAAATAGCCAAGTATTAAAGCAGGGCCACCATCTGGTATGCAGTACTGGGAACCCCGGATTCAGGGCTTCACTCAGGGACAGTACTTCACAACACATACAGGAGAACATCCAAGTTTGCCATTGCCCATGTGTTCCCACACATATCCATCAGTATATTTGTTCCTAGTTCTCATCCATTAGAATAGATATGATGACCATTATCAAGCTATCAGTGGACAATGCTGCACTACAAGCAACTATTTGAGTGACAACACGATTTTGTTTGCCTTGAATACATTGCAATGAATCTGCACTACTACTCCAATATGTTAGTTGGATTTTCTAGTAAATAACAGTGTTCCAGTTTACCAGTAATAACCATTTTTTTACCCAGCAATTAGGCTTGGACTGGTAATTCAGGTGACTGCCAGTCCCTCTGGGCCGGCAAATAAAATACCTTATAAATCTTTGTTGTTGAACAAAACATTGGCAATAGTCTTGTAAATTTATTTTTCAAACGAAGTCAGGGTTTCCCCTTGTCTATTTTTATTGCAAGGAAAAAACATTTTGCTTTGCTTTGAGGTTAAATATCCATTTGTAGTGACTTTGTCTCGTAATATAAAAAAAAGGAGAAAATTGTGACTGAAGTTAGTGTGAATGATGTATAGATCTAATTAAGTTACTTCACGGTTATGTCTTTGCACTGAACATGATGTTGAAAGAATGAAAACCAGGTAAGTTTCATACGGTTTTTTTATTTGCTAAAAGTTGGGACTGGCAAAAATTAGTGGGGGGACTGGTAATTATTAGAACTGGCAGTTTCAAAAGCCAGCGGGAACACTGAAATAATCAATTCTACTAAATAATAATAATTAGAAGCTTGTAACAAAAATCCACAAATTACTTTTGGGGAGATAACTCAGTAACAAACACATCAAATTGGAGTCATGGGAACCTAACTGCTTCATTTAAACTGAAGATAACAAAAAACAATTAGTTAATTTTCGAAAACTGATGCAGGTGTGTGACAATGAATCAATTTTTATGTATTTTTTCTTTTAGATACTGTAATTCACACTAAACCTTTACATAAAGCCATTAATTTATCAAACAGCTAAGACTATTTTCATTCCAAAAATATGTGAACAGATACAAAACAACAGACTATAAATAACGCATCTACTAACAACATTTCAAGATTGTGCAGGCAATAATTTCCTTATAAATAATGTATTATTTAATTCAAAACAGTGTTATGAACAAAAACATTTTGCCCCATGTTAAAAATATTTGCTAATTTAAGAGCAAGTTGTCATGCATCCCCCACAAAAGGCCCCTGAACAAAGCTGGCCAGACAAACAATGCACACGCCAATAACGCGGATGTGGGTATGAATTAATAACGACTCCCTCTGCTTGGTGGCCTCACCGTGAACTCAATCTGGATGCACTGATAACAGACCTCCCTTCATCTGGGCGAGAAGACACGGATGGTTTTGCCGTGATAACAACAATATTGTCATTATTCTCACCATCATGACCACAATATCACAGGGAGGAGACAAAGCTCCTTGCACTGTTTCAGCATGTCAAGAGTAAGACTGTGTATTGCATACAATGTCAGTCTGTTAGATATAGAAGCTATTGTCTTATAAGGATTTCTGCAACTGCAGGAATTACGTAGGCCTGAAGACAATAATAAGCATCTCACAAAGCGAAGACAGACTTCAGTTGTATTTCTGCAATTGCAGTTGTTACAATTAGTAAAGACAACAACAGTTGTATTTCTGAAGAATTGTATGGTGTAAAATATAATGTTCGGGTCTAAACAATGAACACTTTAGACTATGATCCTAAACTACTCATAAAAAAATTAAAACTATTGGACATGATTTTGTTAGAATAATATGGATATTATCCTGAAACAATCAAGAAATAAAACACATATCTTATGCTTATGTTTCTTATTAATCACATTTTATGATAAACACAGAATCCGTGCCTTTGCTTAGAAAAGTAACAAACTAATATTAGATGAAGCACATTTTGTTCCTATGAAAGGAAATTCAATGACATGTTACTTAATAAATGACAAAGTTAGATAGATCAAAATATCCTCCATTTAACAAAGAACATTAGGAAGGATTAGAAATGATTAGCCATAATTCAACTTGAAAAAAAAAGTGATCTTCTCAAATTCATCATTTAAATGGGAGGGGAGTGATGTCAAAATATTGATAAAGCTGGCCTATTACTCAGAGGCATCTCAGGAGACGACCCACTGCCGTCGCGGCAGTGACGCCAACTCGGATGTACTCTTTAGAATCTGCACAGCATCTTGTAATACTGGCTACAGGAAGACGGTGGCCCTTCCCTCCAAGCACTGTCTCATCCACAGCGGTCTCCCTGTAACCCCTGACATGTTTGGCCTGGTTACCATGGAAACCACAAACTAATTGATTTACTTTCACAGAGTGGTAATATGCATTCATTGATCTGTGGTCGTGAGAAAGCGGCCCTTGCCTTCGTCTCTCCAGATTTCCGCCTATGTCCTCACAGAAGATGGCATAGGCCATTCCCCACCATGGTGCCCCGAGTAGCACTAATTGTTTTCAGCTTTCGTTTTTGAAAATATTGACGTTCGGTACATCATTAAAGACACCCTTTGTTCAGGCCGAGGGCCCTGAAGCCCTTTACTTATCACTGCCATGTTCAAAGCTTAGAAATATAATTCCTGACCACAATGCAAACATAGGTGGAAGCCACTCTCCATGATTGTTGTACAAGACGGTGCCTCTACGTAAACACTGTCACGGACCTGAGATTATAAGAAATTAATTCTGGAAGACTTTGGGAACAATACAAATCAATAACGTATGGCAACACTTGCAGCCATATTGCTTGATTGAAGTTGTCTACCGCAGCGCAGATAATGGTTAAATAGCTACATGAATATTGACGAGGATAGAGAAGCGTCAACTGCCTGAACTAGCATCATTGAATAACTGTGTCATTATAGAAGCTAGAGAGATAAATATAGAATAGATATTTTTGATTGGACAAAATGTCAAATTGGAACTCTATCACTTGACTGCATCACTGAACACACATAATAACTCAGTGTAATGTACAATATCATCACAAGATACAAACCCACAGGAAACAGTGCACAGGTAATATGTCCAATACGGTCTTGTGGACTTGAGCCATGCAAGTGTCTTATTTATATGACTATGTCAGAGGCTACGGTCAAAGAAATGCGCATGACATTTTTTTCAAAACTGTTTTGCTAAAACCAAATGTCCATGATTCAGATGGGTTAGGTTCCACAATCAATACTACAGATTTATATTACATCTCTTTGTTAATTACTGCACATTTCTATAGTTTGTCCAGGTCAGGTTTACAACGATGTTCTCTGTGTATTACAAGTCTCTAATATGAAACCTAATGACACATTATACCTTATATACCATTCTACTTGAATCTGATGGTATATAATGTTTCAATCAATGACCTGTCATCAGAAAAACGTTAATGGAGAAGGCCAGATTACTGGTACTTCTCAGTATCTGCCCACAATCAATCTAGACAGAGCCACATACATCCACGTTTATTAGCCCTACCATGTGTTTTGGCAACATATCAAGTACAATTCATAATCTTCACACATGGATTAGCATTAACTCTGCCGTCTAGTCCTTGGAATGAGTGAGACTTTATGAATAGTGAGGACAAAACATTTCTGCTGATTGTTTTGTTTGAATATATGCAAAAAAGATTCACATGAAATTGTTGAAATTGCAAGAATTCAAATGGTTTTCTTCATTAATAACAAAAAACAACATTACAGATGATCCAGAAAATATTTTGTGTCAGTACATGTATACGTATGTGTCTATCAGGCTGTGGTTACCATTCTCCACATTTGTTCATCTATTATAAGCTGGTCAGTGT